CATTGCCTTCCTTTTTACACAAAGGAAATGGTTTTTTTTTCTAAATGCTGTCTTCTCATAAAATACAAAATATTCATTTCCAGGTCATAGATGGTATTAGTGAGGGATCTGAGGGACAGACTACAGGTAGGGGTGGTGTGTCCACTCTTGAGCCTGGAAGTTCTGCCTTCCAGGGTTCGATATTCACTCCTGAATCTGGTCACTGGCTCCCCATGGGCCTGAGTTGATATAACTGAGACTGGATGGGTCCTTAGTGGGATGTTCCCATTCCTTCTCCGAGATGTGCCCACTTGTATACCAAGTCTGTCATGAGCCTAATTGAGGTTGGGGAGCTACTGCCATCCAGGTATTCCACTTGGGTTTAAAAGATTCTGTTCTGCAGAGAAGTAGAGATGAGACTTCCAATGAAGTGCAGGAGCTGGTAGGTATGTTGTTGTCCCAGTATGACACAATGTCCAATCGCGTTCAGGAATGGGACTATTCTAATGGCACCATGGAACTGTCCCAACTCAAGGATTAGATCTGGGTTGAGTCTTAGATTCATTGTGATATGATCCAGTCCTGTTTATATGAGGATCAGTGGAGATACACTTGGAAATGGGTCTTTGCTAAAATCTTAGTTTGGCATCTTTGCCAACAAAATATATTGATTCGTTGGTGAAATTTCAGAAGAAAGGGTTTGATTGTTTTCCTGTTCTTGCTACAGTTTTCATTTTTCTTTTTCAAGGCTTTAATGGGCAAGAGGATAAGAATAGCAAGCAGGAATACCAAACAATCCATCCGAAAGAGGGAAGAACGAACTTTGCAGATCAGTTGCAACCAAAGAGTAATGAAACAAAGCAATCACAAAGTGGAATTAAAAAAGACATTCCTCTGGTCATTTGGCTTTCTAACCATACAAACATTGATACGGGAGAAAGACCATATCAATGCATGGAGTCTGGAAAGAGCTTTAATAAATCTGATCATCTCATTTCCCATAAAAAAAAACAATCAGAAGAGAAACCATATACCTGCAGGGAGTGTGGAAAGACCTTCTGTTATAATTACTCTCTTATAAGACATCAAAGGAACCTCAAAGGAGAAAAGCCTTATAAATGTGGGGAGTGTGGAAAGATCTTCTGTAACAATCACTCTCTTAGAATTCATGAAATTAATCACAAAGGAGAACAACGTTATAAATGCATGGAGTGTGGAAAGACCTTTACTGGTAGGAGTAATCTTAATTCCCACAAGAGGATCCACACAGGGGAGAAGCCTTATCAATGCATGGAGTGTGGAAAGACTTTCTGTTATCATTACACTCTCATAAGACATCAAAGGAATCTCACAGGAGAAACACCTTATAGATGTGGGGAGTGTGGAAAGATCTTCTGTAATAATCATTCTCTTAAAACTCATGAAATGAATCACAAAGGAGAACAACTTTATAAATGCATGGAGTGTGGAACCACCTTTACTGGTAGGAGTACTCTTAATTCCCACAAGACGATCCACACAGGAGAGAAGCCATATAAATGTGTGGAATGTGGAAAGGGCTTTAGATTGAATTCTGTTCTTACCATCCATAAAAGGATCCACACAGGGGAGAAACCATATCAATGCATGGAGTGTGGAAAGCATTTTAGGAAGAGTAGTGATCTTGCCTCTCATAATAGGATCCACACAGGAGAGAAACCGTATCAATGCATGGAGTGTGGAAAGACCTTCTGTTACTCTACATCGCTTATAATTCATCAAAGGAATCACAAAGGAGAAAGACCTTATAAATGCATGGAGTGCGGAAAGACCTTTACTTGTACCAGTCATCTTAATGGCCATAAGATGATCCACAGAAAAGAGAATCCATATCATTGTTTGGAGTGCGGAAAGACCTTCGGTTATAATCGTTCTCTTATACTCCATCAAAGGATTCACAAAGAAGAAAGACCATATCAATGCATTGAGTGTGGAAAGACCTTTACTTGCAGCAATAGTCATAACTCCCACAAGAAGATCCACACGAGAGAAGCTATATTAATGCATGGAGTGCAGAAAAAGCTTTATTAGGAAAAATGCTCTGATTCACTGTAAAACTATCCATACAGAGGAGAAGCCATATCAATGCATGGTGTGTGGAAAGACCTTCTGTTATTATGACTCTCCTGTAAGACATCAAAGGAATCACAAAGGGGAAAGAACTTTGGTTGTAGCAATTCTCATAAAATGATCCACACAGGAGAGAAGCCACGTTTAAGTTCTTCCTATGATCCCTTATACTAGATATTTAGTATATTGATACTATACAATGTCCTTTTTAATATATTATTACTAATATTATTACTAATACCAGTGGTGGCTAACCTTCTCGCCACTGAATGCTGAAACATGCACGATGGATACCCCAAAAAGCAGCTCCCTGATTCACGCCTGCAAGAGCGGTGGAAATCGGAAGGTTAGTTTCCTGGGGTGTGCATCTGCCCCGGCCATCTGGTCTTCCAGTTTATAATGCGCATGCAGGCGTGAAAACCAGCTTCTGGTTTCCCCCGCTCCCACGCACATGAAGACAAGCTGGGAGGTGCACATGCACACACTGGGAAGCTAAGGTTCTACTTTCCCCCGCGCATGCACTGGAACCAGGAAGAGCAACAGGCAAGAGCTGGAGACATGGCTCTGCGTGCTACTTTCGGCACGCAGAACATAGGTTCACCATCACCGTTATATTCAATTGTCCATTTATGCTATATTATACTATTTCTACTGCAAGTATATTGTTAACTATTGCTACTGTACTTGGAATGGAATGGAATTCTTTATTGGCCAAGTGTGATTGGACACACAGGGAATTTGTCTCCGGTGCATAAGCTTTCAGTGTACATATAAGTGATGTATAATAATATTATTACTCTTATAAACCCTGGACTGTCTTCAATTCCTCTCTGGTGTTTCCTCTTGTTTTTATTTTATATTAATGTAAGCAGGTAAAGTACTGACACCTGACCAACATTGGTGGTGGCTTATTCGATGTCACACTTTATGACCACATCACTTAGCGATGGAAGTTCTGATCCAAATTCCATTCCTTAACCAAGAACTACAGGTGGTCCACAGCTTTCAACCATAATTGAGCCCAGAATTTATGTTACTGAGAAATTTGATAAGTGAGGCTTGCCCCAATTCTACGACACTTGCCACATTTGTTAGGTACATCACTGCAATTGTTACATTAGTTATGTGGTTGTTAAGTGAATCTGACTTCCCCATTGACTTTGCTTGTCAGAAGGTCACAAAATGTGATCACATGACTCTGGGATGCTATACCTTCATAAACGTGAGTCAATTGTCAAGCATCCACATGTAAATCATGTGACCATGCTTCAACGCTCATAAATGTGAAAAATGGTAATGTCACTTTTCACTGCTGTTGCAAATTTGGTAACTAGACAAACTGTTGAAAGTTGAGTACTACTTGTCTGGGAATTCAACATAATTCAAGCAATAAAACAAAATAATTCAAGCAATAGAACAAAAACATATATATATCAATGTATCATGTGAAAAGAGTTTCAGGATGAAGAATTCCATTCCACAAAAAAGCAGAATAAGAAGTGAAATCCATGTTCAAATACATTTTTGAAGCATTAGAGCTATGGTGGTGCAGTGCTTAGAATGCAGTATTGCAAGCTAATTCTGGTGACCGCCAAGAGTTCAATTCTAACTGGCTCAAGGTTGACTCAACCTTGCATTCTTCTGAGGCTGGTAAAATGGGGACCTAGATTGTATGGAGCAATATGCAGACTCTGTAAACCGTTAATGGAGTGTTGTAAAGCACCATGAATCAGTATGTAAGTTTAAGTGCTTATAGCTATTGCTATTTTGCTTTTCTAAGACATGAGAATAATTAGGAAATCACTAAATTCAATTTAAATAAATTAGATTTAATTGAAGTTAATTGGATTTTAATTAGATTTGAATAAAATTAATTTTGGATTTAAATAAAATTAAATATCACTGGTATGGTTATTCATGAAACATTTTTAAATTATTTCTAGTAAATTAAAAATTAAAAACAGGAAAACTTGTGGAAGGATTTGGAGTGGGGAAATAATTCAGGCTTTCGGAGACTCAGGCTGTTTTGAAGCTATTTATTGAAATAGTGCTCATTTATGGTTCTGGATCAAAGTGATAAAAGAGCACCAATCTTGATTTTGTAGCCATTATGTCAATTTTCTCCACTATAGAAGAGTGAGAAAAATGGGCTCAAAAGAACCAGACTTTGGGCAAGACAGAGATGTTGATTCCATTCTTTTTAAGTTGCTTCTTAACTCTTATTTCCCCATTTCTTTATTTCATTAATTTAGATAAATCTCTTGGCTGTTCTTGCACTACCTCCAAATCCACACTAATCTCTTCAAACCATGGGAGTCTTCAGCTCTTTTGGCTAGAAGAAAACTTGTGCTTTGTTTAGTCTGGTAGACTGACATTGTCTTTTAACATCCTGCTGATATTTCCTGAGCTGTCTTCCCTACTAAAAAAACAAAACGAAGCCATTTTTCTTTTTTGCCTTATGGAATTTGAACTTTATGCGTATTTCTCAAGATTTGCCTTCCTGTATTTTCTAATTCCACTATTCCTCCAGTCACCTATGAGACACCATTCTCCTATTCGTCTCTCCATCATGGCGCCTTGTTTTGAGGTAAAATTTCTAAACCTTCAATGAGTTGGAGCTTTCTCTCCATTTTGGAACTTGTTTCCTTTTGATGCCCCCTTTTCAAGGAAGAACGTTTCTTCTGGATTCTTCTCATTTTTGCTGCTGCCATTTGCTGTTTTGAACCGCTGTTAGCTGCTCAGAGGCATGAGTTTGAAAAGGCAGCTGAAATAATGGAAATAAAACATCAATAAAAATCTTAATTGTCCTAACCCTTCACTTCCCATCCTTTAACTGCCAGCCTGCCCTCTTCACTTCCCTCACTTCAGGGCTGACTTTGCCAACAACCACATGATACAAATCTGGGCTTCAAAGAGAGGATTCTTTTCCTTTTGAGCCTCCACAGAGATTTTCTCAATATTCACAAGATCACAGATCGTTCTTAGACCATTAAAAAAACAGGAAAGTCTAGAAATTGCTGCCTGGTGTAGGCAGGCAATGCTAGAAGGAGCCTTTCCTTCTACTCCAATGCCCATCATCCCAGGCCCGCATGGAACATGATGAATTGTCCTATACCCTGACAGGGTCCATCTGGCGTTGCACGCAGGATCCACCAGGGGGCTCCCCAGGTAGCCGTTAGAAAGGCAGGGGCAGCCCTCACCCGCTTCAGGAGGGAACTGAGCATGCGCTCTTTCACCAGGTCCGAAAGCTTCGCGGGGCATTTTGCAGGGAAGGGTGGAAGCGCGTCCGCCTTTTCTACAGTGCCCGATTCTGCTCCCTTCCCCCTCGCTGCGGGCCTTAGGCCGAGCCTTTCCAGCAGTCCAAGAGGCTTCAAAGGAAGCCTTGCACGGAGGGAGATCAAGACCTGACTCCGGAGTTCAGTAAGTGGGGGACGGGGACACTTTTTCTTCCATAGGCTGGACCGTGCGTGGAGAGACGCAAAACTTTATCAAGTTTGGAGTCCTGGAAAGTGGGAAGCCCCTTGTCCCATGTTCCCTTGCCGCCCCTGTGCATGCACGGGTAGGCAGGGAAGAAATCAAAAGCTACGGTCTCGCTGCGTTGCCTCCAGGAGGAAAATCGGGACCGCCAGAAAAGTCGGAGCCATTCAGGGTTAGGCGGAAAGTGAGAAACCTCTTTCCAGGAGATGCCTGCATCAAAATATCAAGTTAGGTCGTAGCTGGTTTGTTGATTCGTGTATTACTCTGCATTGAATCGTGGTTTGTTGATGTGATGTCGCAGCTACCCATAGCGGATTAGGCCAGGAGGTTAATGGGCTTCTGCTATCTAGTAACAGAACTTCCAGTATAAAGTTATACTGGAAATTTAAATATTAATTTACCTGTTAAATCGATTTGGAAAGCCACTCATCTCAAATTTTATTTGTTTTATTATAGTATGAATATAGTATATAAAAATTCATTTCAATCAAACTGTGTTGTCTGGGTACAATTGTTTAATCAAGGTGTTCATCACAATAAGATTAATACTGTAGTAACAATATTTTGTCCATTTTAACAAATTCACATTTTAACACATATCTTTTTCATGTCCTTTTCTTTCTTTCTTCTGTTTTTATTGTCTAGCCATTGATAAAATGAGTCCCATGTCAAAAATATTTAGTTTCTTTTTTGTCCTTCATTTCTGCACATTCTAATATTTTCTGGATTACATTCTAATCTGTCAGGGTCTCATCACACTTCCATTGTTGAGCATATACAATTCTAGCTGCAGTTAATATATGTAAAATCAAGTACACAGTCTCTTTATCATATTTTTCTGGTAGAATGCCTAATAAGAATATTTCTGGTTTCATGTCTATAAGCTGTTTTATCATTTTTTCCAACCAGTTATGTATTTTTGTTCAATATTTTTTAGCTTGTTGACATGTCCACCACATGTGATAATATGAATCAGGTGTTTGATTACATTTCCAACATTTAGCAGATCTATCCTTATACATTTTCACCAATCTTGTTGATGCAAAATACCCTCTGTAAAACATACACATTTTCTTTATATACAGTTGACATAGTCCATTTAACATTTCTATCCCACAGTTTCTGCCATTTGTCTAATTCTATAGCATATCCAAAATATTTAGCCCAATCATTGTCTCGTTTACCTGCTCACTTTCAAGTTTAATACCCAATAAATAATATATTTTCTTTATCAATTTTTCATTGGTTCCACCTAGTATCTGGTCCAGATCCGTTAATTCTTTATTAAAACCATACATTTTAGCATCTTTCTTGTATCGAGATTATAACTGCATTTGAGAAAGCCATTCATTTCAATGGCTGTTTGTGGCCGGAGACATTTATCACCTGAATTGTACACAGATTGTTTTTAAGCAGTCATCAAAATTATTTGAATAAGTAGGAATTAAAAAAACAAAAATATTTTAAATATATGTATCCCAAAGTTTTTAGTCCTTGATCAAAGTTGATATAGAAGGTTACTACAGAATTTTTTTCCACATACCGATATGGTAGTCTACCAATAGTAAGTTGGTCAGCCTGTATTTCTGGAAGTTTCTTTTGTTTTCCATTTCAGATAAGTTGGAAATATTTCCTGATTACCTTGGAGTCTGAAGTATCTTGTGAAGAAAGAGAGCTGAACGGCCTTTAGGAGATTTGGCCAGACGTCTTCTGATTAGTAACACTTGAGAGATCCATTCATTTTGGAGCTGGATTAGAGACCAGAGAAAAGATGGAGGCACAATGCCCAGTAGATGCAGGTTTTGGAAAAGGTCCTCCAGCTATTCAGCTTTGGAGTTGTGGGGAAAATGAGGCAAATTCTGGGCAGAGGAGCCAAGAAGAGGAAGCCAACAGTTCGGAGGTTCAATACTGTCACCTCAGAAAAGTACAGTTCCAGGAAGGGAAGACTCCCCGAGATGTTTGCACTCAGCTTCACCGCCTTTGCCATCAATGGCTGCAGCCGGAAAGACACACGAAGGCTCAGATTCTGGACTTGGTGCTTCTGGAGCAGTTCCTGGCTGTCCTTCCCCCAGAGATGGAGAAATGGGTGCGGGAGTGTAGAGCACAAACTAGTTCCCAGGCGGTGGCCCTGGCTGAAGGCTTCCTCCTGACCCAGGAGTCCGAAAAGATGCAGGTGTGAGAATGTTATCATTTCAGCTCTAAAGAGAATCTCTCTGAATTTGTCAATTCCCTTTTGGTAGAGTTTTCTGGGATTATTAATACCTAAGGCCAGTTGTTCCATTTTTTTTTCCAGAGATGTGTTTGGGGCAAGTCTTCCATTCTCTTTCGAGTTTCGCCAAAGGACTTTGGGGTCTGCTAGTTTTAAGGTGCAGTATGGTAATTCCTTATTGCTCTTTCTTTGTTTCTCATATCACATCATGTCCAGAAATCCTTGGAAGCTATGACAGAGTATCCCAAGGGGAGGAAAGATTCATTCAGAAATTCTCAAGAGCTGCTGTTCACAGAGACCTTACACAGAGATCAAAGTCAAGACACCACGCCAAGTAAGAAAAGCTCTGTGATGTGAGATTTCAACATTTAGCTGGTTCTTCTGCTCCTCTTGATTGGAATGTTTCTTAACAAATCTGCTTCCACTAATTTTCTCTTTCTCACAGAGAGTAGAAAGCTGTCCTTGGACTTTTTAGAATCATTTCATCTTTGTGGTAGAGAAGGATTGGCTGAACCGCTATTTCAGGTAAGAAGAGGAAACATCAGAAAGGGTCCATGAATCTTGGGTGGCTTTTAATTTTGGAGTTCAATGTAATAAATTGTTGTTTCTAAGCAATACAAATCTGATATTAGATTCATAATTCATATTTAGCTTAGGTATTGTTCCAGGGGTGGGATTCAGCCACTTTGCACCAGTTCGGGAGACCCGGTTGTTAACTTTTTGAGCAGTTTGGTGAACTGGTTGTTGGAAGAAATCACTAGGGCAGAGAACCTGTTGTTAAATCATTTGAATCCCACCACTGCATGTTTCTCTTCTGAGGGGATCCTTCGTGAGGCACTTTCTCCATCCCTTTTTTACTTTTTTTTGCACCTTTTGAAAAGCATCTTTGGGACAACCATGACCTGGTGATTGAGAATTTCCATAGACATATCCTGTTACAAGCTCCTCCAACATCTTCATGTAGGTGTGAAGTTTGGTTACATTTCCCCCTCAGTGAATAAAGTAAGCCATTGGCAAAAATGTCGTGTGGCTTTTGCCAGTATTTGGCATTGCACATCCTAGGAAGAATTGGAGCCACTGATAACTAGTGAATTTAAGACTCAACTACCAAGTGACCAAGAAAACTATTTTAGTTGGCTACACTGAAAGGCATTCCACATACTTCCAACATGATCCAATGTGCTTCAGTTGTGCCGTCAGTCAAAAGTGGTGAGATCTCATTCTGAATTCTGCACAAGATGCACATTTTGTTCCCTGGATTTCTCTCCTTGAATTGGTGGAAGGAAACTGTCAAATTATTCTTGGGATTATCTATTAAAAGGAAAACTTGTATCCTTGTTTAGGATGTTGTGTCTTTTGAGGACGTGGTTGTGTATTTCTCCAAGGAAGAATGGTCTCAACTAGATGCTGACCAAAAAGCGCTCCATGGAGAAGTCATGCTGGAGAATTCCAGGAATCTGGCTTCTCTGGGTAAGAATCCTTATCTCTGCTCAGATATATTGAAAAGTCATGGGGTCAGGGAGGGGGGCTTAGATGTTGTTCAGAAATAGATTAAGGGAAATAAGTGATTAAAAAATAATTTATTTGTATCCTGCCTTTATTTTTTGCGAAGTAATAAAGGCAGTGGACAAACCAAATATTCCTTCCTCCTGCTGTTTTCACTATAACAGAAATCCTGTGACATGGTTGAGCTGAGAGAGACTGGCCCAAAGTCACCCAGCCAGCATTCATCCCTAAGGCTGAACTAGAACTCACTCACCTAGTTTCTAGCCTGGTGCCTTCACCATTTGACCAAACTGACTTAATGGAAGAAGGAAATTTATTGAAAGAAAACTTGGAAAACTGCATAGCCTTTCTCCTTACATAAAGGAAATGTGTTTTAATGCTTTCTGGTCATAAATCACAAAATAATCATCTCCATGCTTCAGAAGATATTAGCAAGAATCTGAGGGATAGGCTTCAGGGATGAATGGCCTCTCTTGAGCAAGATTCTACCTACTCCTGAATCTCATCTTCGATGGCCCTGAGCTGATGTAACCAAGACTGGATGGGTCCAGAGTGGGATGTCCCTTCTCTGAGATGTGCCCATTTGTGTTTGACATCAGCTTAATTGAGGGTGGGGAGCTATTGCCATCCAGAAGTTCCCCTTGGCTTTCAAAGATTCTGCCCTGCAGACAAGTGGGGATGAGATTTCCAATAAAGTTGGAGAGCTGGTAGGTAGGCATGTTGTTGACCCAGCATGATGCCGTGTCCAATGGACTTCAGGGGTTTGTGACCCCATGAAATAGTTCCAGACCAAAGATTAGGTTGTGTCTTAGATTCATTGTGATGTGATCCAATCTGGTTATATGAATAACAATAGGGATACATTTGGAAGTGGTTCCTTGCTAAAGTCGTAGTTTGGAATCATGTTTGCCAACAAAGCAGCCAAAATATATTGACGATTTTTTTTGGCTAAAATTAATAAGAAAATGTTTGATTGCTCCCCTATTCTTACTACAATTTCCATTTTTCTTTTTTAAGGCTATAATGGGCACGAGAATAAGAATTTCAAGGAAGGGAAGCTATATCAATGCATGGAGCGCGGAAAGCACTTTCGCAAGAAAAGCATTCTGATTCACCATAAAACTGTCCATACAGAGAAGCCATATCAATGCATGGAGTGTGGAAAAACCTTCTGTCATAATAAATCTCTTATAAGACATCAAAGGAATCATAAAGGAGAAAGACCTTATAAATGCATGGAGTGTAGAAAGAGCTTTACTTGCAGTAGTAGTCTCAATTCCCATATGAGGATCCACACAGGAGAGAAACCATATCAATGCAAGGAATGTGGAAAGACCTTTGCTTCTAGTAGTGGTCTCAATTCCCATAAGAGGATCCACACAGGAGAGAAGCCATATCAATGCAAGGAATGTGGAAAGACCTTTAATTGTAGCAGTAATCTCAATTCCCATAAAAGGATCCACACCGGAGAGAAACCATATCAATGCATGGAGTGTGGAAAGACCTTTATTTCTAGTGGTTGTCTTAATTCCCATAAGAGGATTCACACAGGAGAGAAGCCATATCAATGCAAGGAATGTGGAAAGACCTTCTCTCATAATTACTCTCTTATAATTCACCATAGGAATCACACAGGAGAGAAGCCATATCAATGCATGGAATGTGGTAAGAGTTTTAACAAGAGTAGTCATCTTACTTCCCATAAGAGGATCCACACAGGAGAGAAACCGTATCAATGCATGGAGTGTGGAAAGACCTTCTGTTATTCTAAGTCTTTTATAATGCATCAAATGAATCACAAAGGAGAAAGACCTTTTAAATGCATGGAGTGTGGAAAGACCTTTACTTGTGCCAGTCATTTGAAGACCCATAAGATGATCCACATAATAGAGAAGCCATATCATTGTGTGGAGTGCGGAAAGACCTTCTGTTATAATCGTTCTCTTATACTCCATCAAAGGATTCACAAAGGAGAGAGACCATATCAATGCATGGAGTGTGGAAAGACCTTTACTTTCAGTAGTAATTTCAATTCACATAAGAGGATCCACACAGAAGAGAAACCATATCAGTGTAAGGACTGTGGAAAGATCCTTACTTCTACCAGTAGTCTTAATTCCCACAAGAAGACCCACACCGGAGAGAAGCCATATCAATGCATGGAATGTGGAAAAAGCTTTAGTAGGAAATATGCTCTGATTCACCATAAAACTATCCATACAGAGGAGAAGCCATATAAATGCATGGAATGTGGAAAGACCTTCTGTTATTATGACTCTCTCATAAGACATCAATGGAATCACAAAAGAGAAAGACCTTATCAATGCATGGAGTGTGGAAAGACTTTTAGTTGCAGCAGACATCTTGATTCCCACAAGAGGATCCACTCGGGAGAGAGGCCTTATAAATGTGCAGAATGTGGAAAAGGCTTTAGGTGGAATTCTGCTCTTTCCTGCCACAAAAGAATCCATACAGGAGAAAAACCATATCAATGCATGGAGTGTGGAAAGACCTTTGCTAGTAATGGTAGTCTTAATTCCCACAAAAGAATCCACACAGGTGAGAGGCCATATAAATGTGTGCACTGTGGAGAAGGCTTTAGAAGGAGTTGTGATCTCACTTCCCATATAAGGATCCATACGGGAGAAAAAAACAATATGAATATGAAGAGCTTCAACAGAAATGCAGGTAGTTGTAATCTGACTGCAATTGATCCCAAAATTTCTGTTGCTAAGCAAAATAGTTGTTAAGTGAATTTTGCCCCATTTTACTACTTTTCTTCCCGCATTTGTTAATTGAATCATTGGAGTGGGCTATTTTGCCTTCCTCTACTGAATACTCAGATTGTTTATCCTCTGAAGTATCAGGAGACCACGTCATGAGTGTGTGTCTAAGGGAGTGGGAATGCCTCCTACGGTAGGAGGGACCTACTCTAGAGCCCACCTGATTAGGACTGTTAGTCTGAAGTTCTCCCATCATTCCCTGACCAATAGGTTATGTTAAAACACTGCTGAATCCGCAGTGGCATTAACTGCCCTCCTGTTCCAGTGTGTTGCATTTGCCCTTATCTAGTTAAAGGAGGAGCCATTGGTCTTGGATTACTCAAGTAAGAACACTCTGGAAGTTCAGAATCCTGCGTGTTAGAAAACTACTTGGCCCAAATTGTCCATGTCTGATCCCATTTGGGGTAGAATAGATTGACTTGTGTTATTCCCCCTTAGGAGTACTTAATTGCAGTGATTTCATTTGTTCTTTTGAATTCTCCTCTACTTACTTTACCAACTTCTTATGTAGTCTACTCGGCCTGCTCATCAGCTTTAGTTTTCCTAGTAGCTCTGGCCTTGGCCCTGATTTTGTCAGCTGCCTCCTGAACTGATCCTCTGGTCTTACAGGTTCTTTTACCCCCAACCTTTCTGTTGATTGGAAGCAATCAGATGTGAAGACATTGTGTTGGAAGATTCCTCCACAATGTCTGTAACTGACTGTAATATTACTCTAACTATATCAAATAAAAATAGAAACAACACTTAATTGTAATGCGTCTTATTAAATTCTTTAAGAAAATATTTTTCTGAGACTTTGACCTTCAGGACAGAGTTTCATTAATTTCAAGACAATTAAATAGCTCAATAACCACAATCAAGGTTAACTCTATAAGCAGTACAGCTCTAGTCGTGAGGCACACAGCATACAAGGGTAGAAAAGCTGAGGAAAAATACCTATTGTCTTTTTTCTGAGGCTTTGCCCCTCAGGACAGAATTCCGCCAATTTGAAGACAATTAAGTAGCCCAATAACCAGAATCTTTCCAGGTTAACTGTCTATGAGAGGCATAGATCAAGTTGTGAGGCACACTAGAGCTGGCTAGAAAATGGCTGCTTCTACAAAATGGCGCTCCCGCCAATTTAAACCGTCACCAAGTTGATTTTACCTTTGCTGGAACCTCGTTGCAGCTAACACAGCAGCTCTGCTTAGACTGCGCTCCCTTATTTGGGCAGGCTGTCTGACAGGCTTTTTGTGCTCAGACTGCTTAGCACTCCCTTATACGGGCAGGCTGCTCAGCCGGCAAAAAGTGCCTCTTCAATGCCCCCAAAACTCTATTCCAGGTTTTTGGGAGCGATCTCTGCAAACTCCAGACTGTGGAAGTCTATTTGCTTGGAAAAGCCGGTGGAATAGAGGCTTGTGATTGTAATAAGCATCGAGGCTTTTGAAAAGCCTAAGGTGCTATTAGTCCCTTAAGGACTGTTGTGTGGTTAGTCCAAAATAACAAATCTAAATTAAAAATACTACAAACACCCCTCTATGGATAAAGTATAGAGGAGCAAGATTTGAAAATCTATCTCTGCCAAGACTGAATAGAAGAACTGGAGACGGTGGCCTGGAAGGGGTTTGTCTTCAGATTTTCTATTCAGTCTATAGCTGAACAGAGCTGAATACATCCCATGCATGGATCCTGTCGAAACCATTCTGGAAAACCCAAATGAGACCAGAAAAATTCTATTAAAAGAAATAGAAGAATTTGGTACGTAGTAGGACTCAAGATTAATAAAACTAAAATTAAAATGCTTGTTAAAAACCTGACAGAATATCAAAAGAATTAGAAAAGGAAACAGAATTGCAAATTACGAACAAGATTAAATATTTAGGTATTTGTCTGACATCAAGATGCTTGTCGTTAAAAGAGGATAACTATGATAATGAGTCAAATGAAAAAAGTTGTAGAAATGGGAAAAATATAGCTATCCCTAGTAGGAAAGATTGCAGCAATAAAAATGAACCTGCTGCCAAGGTGGTTATATCTATTTCAGACAATTCCTATAAAATGAAATATATATTTTTTTAGAATTGAATAGGGCAGTGACTAAATTTATATGGGAGGGGGGAAAAAACTCGCATAAGGTTAAAATTAATGCAAGAGAATAGATGCACAGGTGGCTTTGGACTCCCAGACTGAGGAATATACCAACATGCAGCAGCACTAATTTGGATCAAGGAATGGATTGTCATAAGCAATAAGAGGCTATTAACACTTGAAGGACATGATCTACAAATTGGTTGGCATGCTGTTATGTGGAAAAAGAGAAGAAAAATTTACACTTCCTAAACCGTCAAATTAGAGATGCACTGTTAGAGATCTGGACTAAAATCAGGAAAACACATTACATGAAAATACCAGATTGGTTCTCCACTACAGAAGCTATGATCTACCCAAATACCTTAGATATAAATAAAATGATTAGATATAACCAATTATTAGATGACCGAGGGATTTTGAAAATGAACCAAAAACTGAAAGAGGAACGGATAGTAATAGATCGGTGGCCCTTACAAATACAAACAAAATACAAAAAAGACTTAGAAGAATTCAGCATAGATAGAACTCCACAACAAATAGATAAAATATTATTAGGAACAGAGGAAAAATTTATAACTAAAATGTACAATTATTTATTAAAATTCAACAGAGAAGAGAAGGCGGTAAAACCAGCAATGATAGTCTGGATGAAAAAATTTTGAATACAGTATACAACTAGAAGAGTGGGAAAGATTATGAATGAGAAATTATAACTTAACAATGGCAGCTTCATATAAAGAAAACCTGTATAAAATGTTTTATCGTTGGCATCTAGCACAGCGAGATTGGCCAAAATCTATCCAAATTTGAAATCAGAATGTTGGAAAAGCAAAAAGAGACGAGGTACCTTCTTCCACAAGTGGCGGACCTGCCCAAAAGCGATAAAAGTTTGGAATAAAGTAAAGATCTGGTTACAGGAAATAACAAGCTCAAAGATAGTATCCAAACCTGAAACATTCTTACTAGGAAAAACTAATGGGGAATATGCAAAAGATATTGAAAGCTTAATAATACATATATTAACAGTGGCCAGGATATTATATGCTCAAAATTGGAAAGTTGATAATAGCCCCACAGAGAATATGATTATAAAGAAAATAATGGGTTGCACTGAGATGAATAAACTCACAATGAAATTGTAAGAGAGGGAAGAAAAAGAATTCAATACTGTCTGGGGAAAATAGTATGTCTGGTTAGACAATAAATATATATATACATACATACATACATACATACATGAACATGGAATAACTAATGATACAAAGAACTGCAAAAAATGTATATAGAATTCATTTTTAAAGGTGAAAATTCAATAAAAATATTTTTTAAAAAGAAAAGAAATAGATTTATGACTTCTGTTGAACTCAAAATTCTTATTGCTAAGCGAAACAGTTGTTAAGTGAGTTATACTCCATTTTACAACTTTTCTTGCCACATTTGTTAAGTCAATCATTGCAGTGGTTAAGTTAATAACACTATTGTTAAGGGAATCAGCCTTTCCCATTGATTTTGCTTCCGATTCAGTCAGATTCTGGTCTTCTGATTCCAGGCAGGTTACAAAAGGTGATCGCGTGACCCCAGAACACTGCAACCATCATAAATGTGAGTGACTGTCAAATATCTGAATGTAAATCATGTAACCATAAAACATTTTTTCAGTACCGTTCTAACTTTGAACAGTAGTAGACAAACTGTTCTAAGTTGAGGACTACCTGTCTGGGAATTAAACATAATTCAGCCAAAAGCCATAGAACAAGATCACACACACACATATATATCAACATATCATGTGAAAAGAATTTCAGAATGATGAATTCCTCTCACCAAAGAAACTACAATGAGAAGTGAAATCTGTGTTCAAAGACACTTTTTGAAGCAATAGAGCCAAGATGGTGCAGTAGTTAGAATGCAGTATTGCAAGTACTGCTGACTGCCAAGAGTTTGATTCTGACCTGCTCAAGGTTGATTGAACCTTCTAAAACCGGTAAAATGAGGACCCAAATTGTTCGAAGCAATATGCCGATTCTATAAACTGTGTATGGAGTGTTATAAAGCACTATGAAGCGGTATATCAGTTTAAGTGCTATAGCTGTAGCTATTTTGTCTTTCTATCACATGATAATAAGGAAATCTCTAAATTCAATTTAAATAAATTGGGTTTAATTGAAATTAATTGGATTTTAATTAGAATGGAATAAAATTAATTTTAGATATAAATAAAATTAAATATCATTGGTATGGTAGTCCAGGCTTGTCCAACCCGCGGCCCATGGGCCGCATGCGGCCCAGGTTGCCTCGTAATGCGGCCCAGTGCCCATCCCAACCTTCATGCCAGAGCCAGCAAGGAGGAGGAGGAGAGGCAGGCGCGGGGCGAGGCGAGCGCCAGGCCAAGCAGCAAGAGAAAAGGCGGGCGCCGTCAGAGCGCCACCTCCTGCTGTTGCCCCCGCCGCCACCGCTGCCGTTTCTGCCCCCGCCGTCGCTGCCGCTGCTGCCCCCGCCGCCGCCGCTTCTGCCCCCGCTGCCGCTTCTGCTGCCCCCACCGCTGCTTCTGCCCCCGCCGCCACTGCCCTCACCGCCGTTTCTGCCCCTGCTGCCACCGCTTCTTCCCCACCACCGCTACTGCCCCTGCCACCGCTGCTGCCCCCGCCACCACCCCTGCCATCGCTTCTTCCACCGCCCCCACTTCTTCCACCGCCACTGCTGCTGCCCCGCCGCCACCCCCGCCACCGCTTCTTCCCCCGCCGCCGCTACTGCCCCTGCCACGGGGGCAGCGGGGGCAGAAGCAGCAGCGGTGGTGGGGGCAGAAGCGGCGGCGGGGGCAGCGGCAGCGGGGGCAGAAGCGATGGTGGCAGGGGCAGAAGCGGCAGCTGTGGCAGGGGCAGAAGCAGCGGCGGGGGCAGAAGTGGTGGCGGAGGCAGCGACGGTGGGGGCAGAAGCGGCGGGGGCAGAAGCGGTGGCGATGGGGGCAGAAGCGGCAGCGGGGGCAGAAGCGGCGGCGGGGGGAGAAGCAGCAGCAGTGGCGGGGGAAGGCTTCTGCCCTCACCGCTGCTGCTGCTTCTGCCTTCCAGTCCTGCCTCATCCAGCCGGGCCATTTGCAGGAGGAGAGGTAGGCGCAAGGCGGGTGAGCTTTCTCCCCGCTCCCCCCAAAAAAATTTGGCTGGAAAATAAACCATGATAAAAGAACTGTGATAAAAAAACCATGATAAAAAATTAATATTTTTAATAAATAATTAATAATAAATAATAAAAACATCTCACTAACTTCATTTTATTTTATGTGCGGCCCAAACCAAATTTTCATCCTCTAATGTGGCCCAGGGAAGGTGAAAGGTTGGACACCCCTGATTTAGTGTTAATAATCTAACATTCCTTAATAAAACCCATTCTTTAACCCATATCAATGCTGCCGCCTAATAATATAATTCCCAATTAGGTAAGCCAAATCCTCTTATTCTAGCATCTTGTAACAACTTAAGTTTAATTCTTGCCTTCTTCCTCTGCCATATATATTTCAATATTATTTAAATCCAAAAAAATTCTTCCCCTAATTTAATTGGAATAGTCTGAAACAAATATAAGATCCTTGGAATATATTCATCTTACTTGTAGATATTCTCCCTATCAGGGATAATTGTAGATTCTGCCAATTTCTTAAAATCTGTCTCAATCTGTTTTTTAAGTTTAACATAATTATCTTCTTTCAAAGTTCCACATCTTGCTTTTAGATATATTCCTAAGTATTTTACTTTATTTATAATCTGAATGTTCAGTCATTCTGTCAAGACAGTCTTTTGTTTACTAATATCTTGGTGTTATCCTTATTTATTTTCAATCCTGCCACCTGTCCATATTTTTCATCTTTTTCAAACAATTTGGGTGCTGATTCCAATGGTTCTTCCAATATGAAAACCAAATCATCTGCAAATACTTGTGGTTTATATTCCTCCTTTTTATTTGCATTCCCTTTAGTTCCCTATTGTCTCTAATACTTCTATTTAGCGCCTCCAAAGTCAACACAAATAGTAATGGTGACAAAGGACATCCTTGTCCATCCTTGTCTATTTAGCACCTCCAAAGTCAACACAAACAGTAATGGACATCCTTGTCTAGTTCCTTTTTCAATATTGATATTTTTCATCAAATCTCCATTAATCATCATTTTAGCAGATTGCTTTTGATATATTGCCTCAACTGCTTTTATAAATCTTTCTCCAAAGCCCATCTGTTCCATTTGTAGTATCATAAACTGTCAGTTTACATTATCAAAGGCTTTTTGCACGTCTAAAAATACCAAGGCCATTTGCTTCTCTGAGTGAATTTCATAATATTCCAAAGTGCCCAGAATTATTCTTATAT